CACTGAAAGCTGAAAAGTGACCAGGGCAGGAAGGGGGTAAAAGTGTCCAGACTTGAAGTGGTTAAAAAAACGCTTCTAAGCGCAAACACGCATAAGCACGGTATGCAGTTGCGGCTAAACAGACGTTTTTTAACCTATGTTTTCCAGCAGTCAGTTTCCATCGTTCAGAAGTGTTTTTCAAACATCCCGTGTACAATAAAAAAATGGCATTGTGCTGCTACTAATACATTATTACTATAAACTGCATTTAAAAAAAATATACATGTTGCATTACTTTGCATATTTTGTTACTTGTGAATGACCCTAGATTACTGAACAAGGAACCTCAATGACTGATATCCATTTGTGTGTGGGGACTGCTATGACTAGGACCTCAGCTATGCCGTATCTTACTGGAAGACTGACTTCATTCCATACCACTGATTTATATCAAGAATGTGCAGCACACCCTCATTTTATTCAACTTTCTGGCTGTTCAAAAGCATTATAGAAGTTTGTCTAACTCATATGGTTAAAATTTCTTTACTACCTGCTACTGATGGACTGAACACTGAATCCTGAAACCCCCCCCCCCATTCGGTTCACGATCGAACATTCTAACCAAACAAAGGTTTGACAGCAAACTTCGAACGGAGGGGACAAATCACAAAGCGGTATCATACCACATAAGAATGCCCCACAGCTACTAAAATACCGCAGGAGTTATATTATTAACTACTTCCCGACCGCACTATAGCAGAAATACTGCTACAGGGTGGCAGGGCTGTGCAAAATCACGTATATATGTGATTTTGTAGTTCCGGGTAGGGGGCTGCGCGCTCTACCCGCGCCACCATTGCCGGCTACAACTGTCGATCACCGTGTCCTGGCCGTTGATTCCCTGCCGGTGATCGCCGAGTATCACTGACGAGGAAGAGGTCTGTATGTAAACAATACAGATCTCTCCTGTCAGCTCCAGCACGCTGCTTTGTATGGCTCTGCATAGCACAGCACTAGTGCTTACACAGTAAAGCATAGCACACAGTTAACCCTTTGATCGCCCGCAAATGTCAACCCCTTCCTGCCCAGTGTCATTAGGACAGTGTTAGTGCTTTATATTAGCACTGATCACTGTATAAGTGTCATTGGAATGTCAGTGACAGTCAGTCCCCCCCCCCCCCAGTGTCAGAATGCCCGCTGCAGTCCCGCTATAAGTCACTGATCGCTGCCATTACTAGTATAAAAAATTAATGAAATAAAAATTCCAGTATATATATTGCCATTTGTAGATGCTATAACTTTCACTTAAACCAATTAATATACACGTACCATAGTAACATTGTACTACTTTGGGAAAGTGATCAGTATGGTTTTTTTTTTGTTTTTTTTTTACACAATTTGCTTATAGCAAAGATTTACTTTGCTATAAGCAAGCATTTACCTGAATGACATCAATTCATTCAGGTTTTTTTTTTTTTGTGCTTAGCTGTGATTTGGCCACAGCTAATCACATGACATGTGCATGTGACCTGCTGTGACCATTCACAGCTAGGCAGTAGTATACAATGGATGGCATGAATTAAGCCATCCATTGTATACATACTGTCATGTGACCTGCGGTCACAGCAGGTCACATGGTACCGGCAACGGGGGCCGGTACTCAGATCTGTCATCGGCCGTGTTCGAGGTACACGACCGGTGACAGATCACGCCCCTCACGGCTCTGCAACCGCGCGAACTGCGCATGTGCGGGAGGACGCCAAATGGCGTATACCCCGGAAAGCTGCAGCATTTTTTGCGGCCGCCAAACGGCTATAGGCCGGGCGGCTAATGGTTAAAAGTGAAGTCCAGGAATGAGGCAATATGTACCCTTTCAGCGAGGCCTTCCCTGCAGTGCCAGGGATAAATGCTTGTTTTGTCTAGGGGTGCAGGGGTCAGGTTTATTACTTACCCTAGCCCTATTAAACTCTAGTCGCCAGACTCAGGGCGGTCCCTTGGTGTGAGGATATTATCCTTGCATTGTATGTGAAGAGGCAACCACGGCTCTAAGCACCTTAGCGCCAGTTCCATGAACGAAAGGACCCTCCCGGAGCCAGGGATGAGCTATTACTCCTTACCCCTGCACCCCCAGACTAAAAACTCATTTAACCCTTGCAAGTACATAGTGGTCCTGCAAAGATTAACTTTGTCTCAACGTTCAGCCTTAAATGTGTTTGAGGATTGCATGGTGAACTACAAGTGCAACCATTTGATTTGAATGCTCAACAAGTTGACACTTATATGGAAATCTCAGGTGGTTACTTTAAAGCAAAAAGCAAGTACAGTGGTCAGAGATCCACCTGACAATATAATTCATCTGATTTTCTTTCCGGAAGGATGGCACTACCTTTGTCCAGGAATCATTTAGGGTCACCACCTGCTTCCTGGAATGAGATGCCAGCTCAGAGGTAACACAGTCATATAAATCCTGGTGTCTGTACATTTCTTCACCGTGTTAACAAATATCTGACACAGATCAACCCCTGCTGCATCCTCTCATTTTGGTACTTGCTACAGTTTATTTGTTTCAGGTACTTATATAGTGCCGTCAATTTATGTAGCGCTTTACATGAATATATGTATTGTACATTCACATCAGTCCCTAACCCTCAAGGGTGTACAATCTAAGGTCCCTAACTTACATATACTAGGGACAATTGAGACAGGAGCCAATTCATCTACCAGCATGTCTTTGGAGTGTGGGAGGAAACTGGAGTACCAGGAGGAAACCCACACAGACACAGGGAGAACATGCAAACTCCAGGCAGGTGGTGCCATGCTTGTGATTTGAACCAGTGACCCTGGTACTGCCAGGCAGAAGTGCTCACCATTTAGCCATTGGTACTTATATAGTGCTGTCAATTTACACTGCACTTTACATGTATATTGTACATTCATATCAGTCCCTAACCCTCAAGGGGTGTACAATCTGAGGTCCCTAACTCACATTCATACATACACATACTAGGGACAATTTAGACAGGATGCAATTAATCTAACAGCATGCCTTTGGAGAGTGGGAGGAAACCCACACAGACTCAGGGAGAACATGCAAACTCCAGGCAGGTGGTGCCATGGTTGGGATTTGAACCAACAACCCTAGTACTGCCAGGCAGAAATGCTAACCATTTAGCCACTGGTACTATTGCTGTCAATACATTCAAATCAGTCCCTAACCCTCAAGGGATGTACAATCTAAAGTCCCTAACTCACATTCATACATACACATACTAGGGACAATTTAGACAGGAGCCAATTAACCTACCAGCATGTCTTTGGAGTGTGGGAGAAAACCGAAGTACCTGAAGGAAACCCACGCAGGCACAGGGGGAACATGCAAACTCCAGGCAGGTGGTGCTGTGGTTGGGATTCGAACCAACGACCCTAGTACTGCCAGGCGGAAGTGCTAACCATTTAGCCACTGTGCTGCCCTAGTTACACTGTATAGTCTTGTCACTGGGGAGGGGGGGACTGAGGAAAATGCTTCCTCCTGCATGCAGCAGACTGATGACATCATCTCAGCCTAGGCAAAAGTCACAGATCTGAAGTTCAAGGATACTTTTTTAACAATAGTAGCTGGAGCTTTTTTTGAAATGATAATGTTGTATATTGTGACACGTCAGGAATTTATTTATTTCAAGATACAGAAAGGTCCAATTTATTGACTAGACCTAGCCATTGTTACAGTAGTAGCTGATGTAGATATTACAATGTTTAAAACACACCAGATTATATATGCAAAATGCAGTGCTCAAAAAGCAACCAATCAGATTGTAGTTTAGCGTATCGAGAAATATTATGTTTTCTGATTAGCTACACTGAACGTTGTGAACCCCAGTACTGTTTGTATGCGTTATTGAGTCATTAATGGTTAAATCGCACACAGACACTTTGATTGGCAAGCAGAATATAAACATAAATTAAATATATATTTTCTGGTGGCAGCAAGCCATTCTCTTTCAACTCACGAAGGCGCGGTCTAACCTTTATCATACATAGGATAAGGGGTGATTTAATATGGTGTTTTTTTTTTTCATTAGAGAAAGTCTGACAGCTGGAAAGGGCATGGAAAAAAGACATCTCAGTGTAGGAGCATTGAAGATTGTATATACAGGTATATAAACATAAAAAAGGCAATGAGAACGTGTGGGAACCCACACTATGGGCAAAATAACCAACAAAAGGAAAAAAATATGAAGATCATTTTTTCTATATGTGTACTTTAAAGGAACCACTGATAACAGAAACTTTTAAAAGTACAAATATTTATTATTCACATTATCTGTCAATTGTTTTATAAATGCTGTGGATAATAAACATATTATGGATCTATCATAGTTACATAGTTAGTCTGGCTGAAAAAAGACAAAAGTCCATCCAGTTCAACCATTAAAAAAAAAGGTATAATCCTACACTCACAGCTGATCCAGAGGAAGGCAAAAAAAAAAAACCCCCAGCAAAGCATGATCCAATTTGCACCTGCAGGGATAAAAATTCCTTCCTGATCCCCTGAGAGGCAATCAGATATTCCCTGGATCAACTTCAAATATAAATGTTAGTATCCAGTTATATTCTGTGTATCTAAGAAAGAATCCAGGACTTTTTTAAAGAAATCCACTGTATCAATTTTCAATTGATCAATTATTATTTTAAACATTTTGTGGATAATAAATATTTGGTGGGGGTTTTTTTTTCATTTTGATGGATTTTGAAGATCTAGAATGTATTTATGTGGATAATAAATACAATCTGGATCTATCATTTTTTTATATTATGTGAATAATATATTTTTTTATATTTTAAATTAAATAAAAAATATTATCCAGATTTTTTAATAAAAATTAATAGAATAGAATCGTTAATTTGTTTTAAACATGTGAATAATAAATACATTCTGGCTTCATAAATTGTTCTAAACAATACGTATTTTTTTACCGTAATTTTCTGTCTTCAGGGGTATCTTTAAATTACCGTAAATAAAAACATGAAGTTTGGAGGTCTTTAGCTATTGACTCTGCAGACAGTTGGCGACTTCTGTGCCCTTCAGCATGCGCTGACCCCACTCTGTCATGTTACGTGGCCTACCACTTGGTGGCTGAGTTGCTGTTGTTCCCAGTTGCTTCCACTTTGTTACAATACCACTAACAGTTGACCGTGGAATATTTAGTAGCAAGGAAATGTCACGGATGGACTTATTGCACAGGTGACAACCTATCACGGGACCACGCTTGAATTCACTGAGCTCCTGAGAGCGACCCATTCTTTCACAAATGTTTGTAGAAGCAGTCTGCATGCCTAGGGGATGATTTTATACACCTGTGGCCATGGAGGGGATTGGAACACCTGAATCACATGATTTGGAGGGCGGGCCCAATACTGACAATATAGTGTATATTTACAGCTAACGTTGGCTTAACTGCCAGGAATTGAATAATAAAAGTCACCCCTTTTAATACTTTTGGCACTATAGTGTGTGTATATATATATATTTCCTTTTTTTTTCAGCGGGAACATGGCGAAACGCACCTCTATCACTGAATATATGTAATGGCGAGGAATGTTGGGGTGTGCTGCAGGGCTTATTGATGGTGGCTGCTGGGGAAATCTATTGTTGTTGGGGGGTTCTATTGTTGCTAGTGAGTCAATGGTTGCTGGACAGCATCTACTGTTGAGGGAGGGGTCTATTTTTTCTGGCTCCTGGAGGGTCTACTGATGCTGGCTGATGAGAGATCTATTGTTGCTAGGGTGGGTCTATTCTTGCTGGGTAATCTATTCTTACTTTGGTGGGTCTATTTTTGCTGAGTAATCTATTGTTGCTGGGGTGGGTCTATTTTTGCTGGGCGATCTGTTGTTGCTGGGGTGGGTCTATTTTTGTTGGGTAATCTATTGTTGCTGGAGTATGTCTATTTTTGCTGGGTAATCTATTGTTGCTGGGGTGGGTCTATTCTTGCTGGGTAATCTATTGTTGCTGGGGTGGGACTATTCTTGCTGGGTAATCTATTCTTACTTTGGTGGGTCTATTTGTGCTGGGTAATCTATTGTTGCTGTGGTGGGACTATTTTTGCTGGGTAATCTATTGTTGCTGGGGTGGGACTATTCTTGCTGGGTAATCTATTGTTGCTGGGGTGAGTCTATTTTTTCTGGCTCCTTGAGGGTCTACTGATGCTGGCTGCTGAGAGATCTATTGTTGCTTGGGTGGGTCTATTCTTGCTGGGTAATCTATTGTTGCTGGGGTGGGTCTATTTTTGCTGGGTAATCTATTGTTGCTGGGGTGGGTCTATTTTGGCTGGGTAATCTATTGTTGCTGGGGTGGGTCTATTTTTCTGGGTAATCTATTGTTGCTGGGGTGGGTCTATTTTTGCTGGGTAATCTATTGTTGCTGGGGTGGGTCTATACTTGCTGGGTAATCTATTGTTGCTGGGGTGGGTCTATTTTTGCTGGGTAATCTATTGTTGCTGGGGTGGGTCTATTTTTGCTGGGTAATCTATTGTTGCTGGGGTGGGTCTATTTTTTCTGGCTCCTGGAGGGTCTACTGATGTTGGCTGCTGAGAGAACTATTGTTGCTGGGGTGGGTCTATTCTTGCTGGGTAATCTATTGTTGCTGGGGTGGGTCTATTTTTGCTGGGTAATCTATTGTTGCTGGGGTGGGTCTATTTTTGCTGCGTAATCTATTGTTGCTGGGGTGGGTCTATTTTTGCTGCGTAATCTATTGTTGCTGGGGTGGGTCTATTTTTGCTGGGTAATCTATTGTTGCTGGGGTGGGTCTATACTTGCTGGGTAATCTATTGTTGCTGGGGTGGGTACTATTTTTGCTGGGTAATCTATTGTTGCTGGGGTGGGTACTATTTTTGCTGGGTAATCTATTGTTGCTGGGGTGGGTATATTTTTTATGGCTCCTGGAGGGTCTACTGATGCTGGCTGCTGAGAGAACTATTGTTGCTGGGGTGGGTCTATTCTTGCTGGGTAATCTATTGTTGCTGGGGTGGGTCTATTTTTGCTGGGTAATCTATTGTTGCTGTGGTGGATCTATTTTTGCTGGGTAATCTATTGTTGCTGGGGTGGGTCTATTTTTGCTTGGTAACCTATTGTTGCTGGGGTGGATCTATTTTTGCTGGGTAATCTATTGTTGCTGTGGTGGATCTATTTTTGCTGGGTAATCTATTGTTGCTGGGGTGGGTCTATTTTTGCTTGGTAACCTATTGTTGCTGGGGTGGATCTATTTTTGCTGGGTAATCTATTGTTGCTGGGGTGGGTCTATTTTTGCTGGGTAATCTATTGTTGCTGGGGTGGGTCTATTTTTGCTGGGTAATCTATTGTTGCTGGGGTGGATCTATTTTTGCTGGGTAATCTATTGTTGCTGGGGTGGATCTATTTTTGCTGGGTAATCTATTGTTGCTGGGGTGGGTCTATTTTTGCTGGGGTGGATCTATTTTTGCTGGGAAATCTATTGTTGCTGGGGTGGGTCTATTTTTGCTGGGTAATCTATTGTTGCTATTGGTAGTCTAAAGAGATCTATTTTGCTGCCTATTTTGTTATCGTTAACAAATTCCATAAGAATGACTTGCAATGCCTGTTATGTATTCTCTTAAAGGGATATTACTGGGCAATGGGTAGCGGAGGAGACAAGAGATGGTGCTTGAAGGTGAGTAGGGGGTTGAGACAAGGGGTGACTTGAAAGGGGGGAGTACCTGCACCTATTCTCTGAGTAAAAAAGCCCGGTATATGTGTATATGTATACAGGGCATTGGATAAGGGGGTACCGCTAGTCCTCCCGTACAGGACCCAGGCCAGCAGAGGGGCCCAGGCAGCTGGCTGAATCAGATTTGGGCAGGAAATGTAAGCAGGGCAATTACTGGAATAAATCCCTTGTGTGGCTCTCTCTGCAGCAGCTGAATTCTTCTTCACCCCCCGTTGGCTTACAGCTGCAGCTGAGACCAGTTCCAGTAATTTACCAGCCCCTTCCTTTCCTGAATGAACACAATGCATGATCGGTATCTATTATTCTCTGCGTATATTCATAACGGAAGCATAGTAAACTGTATTTTTTTTCTTTTGGGGGGGGGGAAGGTTGTTAGGTTGGCCTTATGGGGCCCTGTGGTTTTGGGGGGGCTCTGCCAGGTTGACAGTAAGGGGCCCCATGGTTTCTAATGGCATTCCTGTGTGTGTGTGTGTGTGTGTGTGTGTGTGTATATATATATATATATATATTTTTTTTTTTTTTTTTTTCACAATTAAATAAATTAAATTACATTTTTTAAATGCATGCAGTGTGAGTACTTGAATTTGACCTGCTATCAGCCTCTTTCAGTTCCTGTACAGCAGAGCTCAGGGAGATTTGCTCCGTTTGCTGATTTCCCCTTTTGGCGAATGCATTATGACGTGTATTACATCACTTCCAGGTTCATGTGACTGGTCTGGAGCAGATTAAAAGTAGGTAAGTATGCACCTTTTTTTTAATACAGGTTAGGCATGATAGGTGAAAGGGGGGGGTGGGTGTTGACATTTTTAGGAATAGATATAATTAGGCTTATCACAATTAAAATCTCTGTATATCCCCAAAGAAAAGAAAATCTTTCACCCTTGAAAGTGCAAATATCAAAAAACCTTTTCTTCAAACCTTCACCCAAACCTAATACCCTTCCTTTACTTCAAAATATCCCAAATACAGTTCAAAAATTGTACAAAAACTGTTTGCCAAATGTCCCAAATAAAATCCAAAATGATCCACCAAATGTCCACACTATTCGATCTTCCAAACGTGATGAAATGTCCAGTTCATCACTTCCAATCCAAGAAACCTCAAAAAAATGAACTAAATATAGTGCATTATCTCTCAAATAATACAATATTCTGTGATACCATGCAAAGCACTCGTGAAACAAACAAAAAAAAAAATAATTATATAGATTTAATAAAAAATAAGAATGTAAATACAAAAATTCTTTGTGACTATCAATCATAAATAAATAAAGTGAATGAAGTGAGTCCACCTGCACACCCCCACTCGTGAAGTGGGTATAATTCACAGCAACCGGACCAGTGATTATAAACAATGATTAAACAGTGTCATCACTCTGACCAGTGAAATTCACAAAAACCACTCTGTTGGGAAGCGCTTTTCTCAAGCAAGCGAACGTTGTCTTGATTAGTCTGTGGAGGCTTTTGTTCCTGGAAAATGTCTTATTTATCTATTTGGAAGTTGCATCCGGCAGAGTGAACAGAGCGGGGAAGCCTACATTTGAGAGATAATGCACTATATTTAGTTCATTTTTTTGAGGTATCTTGGATTGGAAGTGATGAACTGGACATTTCATCACGTTTGGAAGATCGAATAGTGTGGACATTTGGTGGATCATTTTGGACTTTATTTGGGACATCTGGCGAACAATTTTTGTACAATTTTTGAACTGTATTTGGGATATTTTGAAGTAAAGAAAGGGTATTAGGTTTGGGTGAAGGTTTGAAGAAAAGGTTTTTTGATAATTAGGCTTAGCCTTAAAAGTTTTGCTATAAATTATAGTGTATATAAACCCAATCACTAAACTATAAAATCCATTAAAAAAACACATTAATGTCATTTGAAAAGTATTTTTTTTTATCTGCCCCTATTCAGGTACTTCCTGTTATAAGATGACCACATTCTGGCCAGTAATTTTCCTGCATTGTCACTCTATCACAAGCTCCACCGATGAAGGCTGCATGAGGCCATGCGCAGGCACGTTTCACACTCCTGTCACTGTCTTTGCTGGAGTGAGTGGAAGCAGGAAGTGGTTGCCAAAAGACTGCAATACATTTTGGTGCCGATATGCACCAAAAATGGTGAAAACATTAAAAAAAGCATGACAGTTATTTATTTTATATTTATGTGTGTCAGGAAAACTAATGTTGTCCAGTTAGGATTCACTCATGCAAGCTCTGTTTTAACCACACGATGGTGCTGTTGGAATTACACAGAACCCAGACAGCATTGCAGCTAGAAAGA